CCGGACTTTACACTAGTTATATTGGAATTGGGAGTTTACAACTTTGAAGGGATTTTAATGTGGAGTTTATGAATGTGTAAATTTTAATTATCAAAAATTGAATTAATTATTCATACAGAGATTGACTTTTATCATCGATTGACCAAAAAAAGTTGACTTTGCAAAACAAATTGGGACGAATGGAGTATGCGTTCTCGATTTTAATATAACGACCGCTCTTTTATGATAAAAAAAATTAAAAATATAGTTATTTGACAAAAACTACCCTTAATGAGTTGCATGAGTTATACATTGTGCCTGCATTGTAGACATGCATTATCCTCGTGCGTGCCTCAACCATCTTCCAGCAATGATGCCGCAGCCCGCCAGCAAACCAACGCAATCGCCGCCTTCGGCCAGACTCCCACCACCACCCGCCCACGAGCCGACGCAGCGACTCCTTGGCAAGCCCATTTCCTATCTTTGACAATGACATTTCTTGTATATATCATGACAATTTTTTTAAAAAGTAAAGAATTTTTTAAATTAAAATTGTGACATTTCGTAAGAATTATGATAATATTAAAATAAAATTAATGGCAAGTTAAATAAAAATTCAACATGTAGGAAGAAAAAGAAAGTTGAAAAGTCGGTACGAAAATGCCATCTTTATAAAGTTAGTGACACAGAACTAAAATTATTTTGTCAAACAGGTAAAATATGGCATTCTAAAATTTTATAATTTCAAATTAATATTGTCATTTTGATAGATGTAATGCCATAAGAATGACAGTTTTCGGATTAGTAGTAATTTTATGACATTCTAAGATTCCAAGCCCATATAAATTAATAAATAAAATTCGGGAAAATGTCTTAAATAGGAGTAAATATGTTTGTATATTTCAAAATAGGACTATCATGTTTTTATTCCTTAATATGCCTAATTACTCTCATGTTGTGGTAGTACCAAACATTAAACATAACAATATTTTCTGAACTTGACAATAATTACTCTTTTTAGGTAATAAAAACATGACGTTTTATTGCGGGAACCTTCCCATAAAATCCAAATCCCAAGAAGAACATAACAGAGCTCCAGAAATTTGAAAAGGGGAAGGGGAAGGAGAAGGAGAAGCATAAGGAGACTAAGATCACCTACTTGACTTGGCTGAAGAAATTGCAGAAGATGTGCCTTGGATGAGTGCAAGGCTACGTATGATGGCAGGGTTGCGGTGCGAGACTACAATTGATGGCGGGGCTGCGGTGCGAGACTACGGCCGGTGGCGGAGCTGCGGTCCATGGTAAATGAAGGAATCATGGGCGGGTGAGTTGCACTTGCACTACATCAAGGTCTGTGGGAAGTAATCAGCGATCGATTGCAGGGGGCAGAGGGAGAAAAGTCGCATGTCTGAGTTTTAATTACATCGAGGATAAAAGTGTAATCCTTAGTCTTGTTTAGGGAATAATAATCTCGAAGTCCTATTTGTAAATTTAGGCAATGTTTTGGTCTCATTTATGACAATTTTTTAATTTCATACGGGCTACAATTCATACCTACGAGGTATTAAAATAGAGTTTTTTGTGAGTTAAGTGGCAACTCACAAATGTGTTAAGCTACAACTCGGAAAAATCCTTTGACGCCACAAAATAGAATAAAATATATGATTAAAAATGGGGCGGCGTAGTAAATCGACAAAGCTTTATGAACACTCCTCAACACTTATTTGATGGACATTGCATAACTAAAAATCAAATAGGTGTGTCTCATAATAAAATACATTTGTCCTACATTTATTCTCAACATAAACTATACTCCTCAATAATATAAGGTCACTTCCCAATAATTGTGTGTAAGGTAGCTAATTGTGAACGACAATAAAGTGTGTACAACAAGAATTGTTGTTTTTTAATTCAAAAAGTAAGGTAGCTTATTATGGATGGCTATAGCGAGTCTCAAGGCTATTATTCTCCCAATGTCCCTCTCTTACCATTTGCTGATGGTAGCGTATCAATGGCCCATTTTTATCCATATTTTACTCGAATCTTTTGTAGGGAAAATGAGTACTTTTTCCACTCCCTTTTGCATATAGTAAGATACAGTAAGATGTATAAGTGTAACAAAATTCTAGTATTAAATTGGGTAACTTATTATTTTTCTAAAACAAATTATGTATTTCAATACACATTACTCTAACTGAATATGAGAATAACATTTATTACATAAACAATGAGATCGATAAAATTCAAAAGAGTAAACTACAAAATGTAAGACTTTAAAATACAAAGGGGCATAATAAACAAAAGAATTCCTCGCAAAAAAATTGTAAAGTATGTGTAAAACAATGTAAGTTGTTTTAATAATCTCCCAAAATCCCAAAATATGAGTGAACAAAATGTCGTTGCTAGGTGGGCCACCACCACCACCGGGCAGCCATCACTAAACGCTATGTGAGATTGGTAAACCCCAAAAATACTAATCCCTAAACCCTTAAAGAGAATTGACAAATCGATTATAAAAAACTCATCAACACTACTATGTTAGGGATTCAATCTACTAACTCTCATTTTGGCACTTTTACAATGGTTTGCTCATATTTGGGTCAAGTACTATAAACAAAAAGAGACGGCATATAATAATTCAAAGCCACTAAAGTAATTCAAATTTGGAGGAGTATTATAGCATTGAAACTATATAGCAGAGCTAAACGTTTTTTTGTGAGGGGAGGGGGTTTGAATCAAGAAGTAGAAATTTTAAGGTTCCACTTTGTTGGTGGCTTTCAACTTTTTATTGATTCAACTTTGGGCAGAAAATAGTAACTCTGATTTCACTATCAATATCATTCCAAAGAATGACTCAAAGATGAGTGTGAAGTTTCAATTAATGACCTCATTGTTTTGGGATGTAGGTGTCTACATTAACATCAATAAAAATCATATATCAATTCAATCACTACCCTACTAGGGTTTCTCTCACCCTCGACGACGCCTTGCAGTTTTATGCGATTTCTTGTTTTGTTTCCAGTTGAGGTTTAGATTTAATTTGTTTGGATTCCCATTCATTCTCTATTTGTTTCTCGAATAAGGATTTTCATACAAAGTGAAAACTCTACATCGGATCAACCTATGACTATGAACCCATGACGAGAAGGATGTGGCACATGATGGTTGATCGAGTGAGAGTGGAACCTATCGAAGATATGTTGAAGGGACTTGACATACATACGAGAAAACAAAGAGGAGGACGTGATTCTAGAGGATAGTTTAGAGGACCTTGAAATCACAGCCAGATGGTTAGCTCTTGCTAGGTTCACACATCCACAGTGTTTCATGGTCAAGGGAATATAGCCATGCGAGGAAAGAGGGGGACTTGTCCCTTTCACTCGGAATCAAAAGAATATGGTGACGATGAGGAGGACCTTAAGAGTACTGTGACTAACCATTCGAAACCTACGGGGAATCAGAGAGGGCTTGAGGCATCTGACTCTTATTCACAGTGGGATGGAACCTGGTGGGAGGAAAGGAACGATAATATGCTCAGAATGATAGGCCTTCTCGCGACCCTACATGAAGGGAATTTCGAAATTGATATCAACATGAAGGAAGGAAGGAAGGGCGATGTAGAGAATGTTGATGCCATTACTACCAACAGGGACATTAAAAGTCAGAAGATGGTGGAGCATCGACAGGGCTAATATTGGGAGCTATATCAAGCATAATGTCTACCCTATGTTGGATATGTCAGGGACTTGGGCAACCTCGGACAGTTCAGAAGTTGATCTGCCTAATGCAGAAATGTAAGCCTAAAATCATTTTCTTGTTGGAAACTAGACAGGATTGCAACTATGTTCGAAGCTAAGATGGTGTATAGGGTTGAAACAATGTCTCACGATTAATGGAGAAGGTAAAGGTGGGGGGTTGGGACTTTATGGGATGAATGCCCAGCGGTGCACCTTCTCTCTTTTGGTAAACATCAATTTGATGTGTTGCTTAGGGAAGGGATACATGGAATTCAATTGCGTGGAACGAACCTTTGTGTATGACGAGCCAAGAGTGCATGATAGGCACCTTATGTGGACTTTATTACGCCAGATTAAACCAATAATAGATGCCTAGTGGTTGATGATTGGTGATTTCAATGAGGCAATGTGGCAAGGTTAATACTTTTGAAGTACTAAACGTTAGGAGTATCAAATGATGGACTTCAAAGAGGTATTAGCTCATTGTGATCTCCATGACATAGGGTTTGTGGGGCTACCTTGGTCATATGATAATCAGATAGTTGGATAGGATGTTAAAGTTCAATTAGAAAGGGGGGTTGCTAACACGGACTGAATTACCTTATTCTCGGATGAGCAAATTCGGCACTTAGTGTTACTCCACCCCCCATGTATCAATTTTTTGTGATCAAGTGTAATACAATTTTGTGGTGTTATATATAAAGCCGAGTAATTTATCTGTGTTGTTTAAATTTAATGAGTACTATATTTAGGGGAGGGAACCACATCAGGTGTCGCAGGGCCACATATTACATTTACTTGGATCCGAATGCTATCTTATATATGTTGCTAGGAAATGTTTAAGGGCCAAGGAAGTGTTTTTAAAGTATAAAGGAATCGAAACTAGAGTTTGGACTAATAAATGATACGGAGTATAAGGGGACCAAGACCCGTTAAATGGACCTATTAAAGGCTATAGAGCCCAAGAAGGAACCTAGACCTACTCAATTTCAGCGAAACAACATTTTAGACTACGAAAACTTTCTTCTTATGAGAACTTCTTTTCTACTCCCCCTCCCCCATACCCCCTGGAGTAAAAAAAATAGAACTTCTTTTCTATTATACCTTTTTCATTCGTTGAAAGAGGAAAACGACCTATGAGATGGACTCAAGCTTGCAGAAGAGTCTTCACATCTAGAAGAGCTGGGATTCACGCCATATTCAGGTGAGATGATGGTTGTATAATTTGTAACTTTTGTGTCTTTTTTTCGTTCACGAGCCCCCCCCCACCTCACGACAAGGGTAAGGGAGAAAGGATTTTAGGAAAAGAAATTAAAATTAGCACGGGACAGGCCCCGACATAAAAGTCTTGTATACAATTATGATAAGTCCGTATTTTGACACGTATTTGATGCGTGTTGAGATCGGCTTTGGATGATTTTCCTAGTTTTAAGGTGTTACAAGTCTCAATTTTAGCTCAAGTTATGTTTACCGGGCGTTGATTCGAGTTCATATTTGAATTCGAATTCATATTCGAAAAAATTAAACAAATACAAATACAAAATCTTACTATTCTACTCTTACATATTAGATTCGTATACAACCCCTTCTGCAAACAACCGTCTCGTCTGTTCATGTCCTTGTTCCAGGTTAGTACCCTGCTATCTCTCACCTCATCTACTATCGATGCTCAATCCCCGCCGTTTCCCCTGGCGGTAGCGGCACACAAACCCATCAGCGTCTTCTTGAAAGAGCTCTGCGAAATAGCTTTTGCGGAAGAAGCTTTTCTGAATTTCTTCTTCATATTTTTTGTATAGGAAAGTCTACTAGACTACTATATATCATGTATATATACGAACAGTGTATATATTATCACTGCTCCATATTTAGTGAATCAGAATTGAAATAATGGAATTGCCTAATTGTGCAGATGGTGCAATCAATTAGAAATCGCGTTTGTTTTTTGCTAGGAATAAAGTGAATGTTTGTGGTCAAGGAATAAAGAACTTTAGAACTGGAATAATGCAAAAGGAAGATTTGAAATTGGTCTTCTAAAAGAAATGGAGTTTTAGAATTAAATGAAGTCATGAGCACTAATTACACTATGTTTACATTGTTGATTTGTTTATTCGAATTACAATTAGCTTCATTATTTAGTAAATTAGTTAGTCGTTATTTATAATATTAAAACATTTGACTGCTATACACTTATGCTACACACTTATACTTTAATATACATGTCTAGTGTTTGTTTAAAAGTTTGCATTTGGAAGGATGTGGGATAATATAGACTGTGATACTATCAGAGGTGATTTTGCATCTAAGAACGCTCGAAGGGATTGTTTCCTGTAATTTTTTTCTTTTAATCTACAAAGCAGTAGCTTTATGCATTGAACTCTACTTTTATAGTAAGAATCTTGTTGTAAGCCTTTGTAATCAAAGGGACCTTTTTTTTTTTACTATGTCCGGGTCTCCAAAGCGTCAGGACTGGCCGACTGGGCCTGACACTACTCCTTAAGTAGTTAAGCCACCAACCGCGCCACTAACATTCGCTTTTCACTGAAAAGTTTTCAGTTCCTATATGTGAGTTTAAGGGGGTGTTTGGAACTGATTCTGCTTCTTTTTTAAAGCAGAAGCAGAATCAGAATCATTCAGAAGCTGGTCTCCCCCAGCTTCTAAAAAACTGATTCTAGGAGTAAATTAGAGCATCAAAATCACTTCTGCACTTTCACCCAAACACTCCAACTTCAGGGAGCAGAAGCAGTTTTAAGAATCAGATCCAAACACCCCCTAAGTTCATATTGTATTTTGCCCTAACCTTCAACTGACATCCGTTTTCCAAGAATTTGATTTTTAATGTGAATTTGAAGTTCCCCAAATTCTTCTGGGACTAAGACTTGTTATCTTTGTTGTTATTTGGAATTTGAAGTTCAGAACCGAGATTGTTCGATTATGTTGGTTCTGATTAATGCAAGTTTAAATCTGTGTAGTGCATTCCAACTATCGAAGAATGGCAGATAAGCAGGTGGTTAAGCGAGCTAAGTACAAATTATCAGTCAAGGACCCTGGTGTCCCTGGTGTTTTAAGAATGGTATTTTCATCCGCCTCTGTATTCATATTGTAATTCCTTTAAATTTGTTGCAGACCTCGAAATAGTGAATGCAAATGCGCTTAAACCAGATACAGTACAATGCCGTGCATATCAGAATGAATGAATAGTACTAATGATTCTTTCTGGGCTAATGACATTGAATCTTAAGACTTAACTTAGTTGAATGTGGAAAAGCGTGTGACAAGTCTGAGGTGTAGTACAGGGTAATCAATTTCGACACTAGCATTTCCTCAAGTGTAATCTAATAATTATTTCTTTTTTCTGCTCCTTTGCAGACCATGGAAAGGTTCATATTTAAGCCTAATGACCCAATGTCATCATACAAGCTTAATGTGGAGTTTAGGCTGATTAAAGGTGTGTTTTCATTAGTTCTTTCAATAGATGAGTCACAATTTCCACTCATTTCCTTGACCTGAGTCGCTATTGCAATGGTTTAGTTTATTGATATCGATTGAATGGTAGGCCATAAATTCACTAAAGAGGGCACTAGTAAGCAGGCCTTGCTCAATCTTTCCCAGGATCAGGTTAGTACAGTCAAATCTGGCTTTGACTACTAAGGCAAATCTTAGGCCTTGCTTAAGATAATGAGATGCATTTTAAGGAAAAATCACTGTGGTATTTTAGTATATACATCAAAGCTCTGCTTGCAAAAAGTGCATCATTTGAAGTAAGTGTGCACCTCTACAGAGAACTGTTGTGCACTTGTGCCGTGTTTGAAATGAAATGTGCATGGCTGAAACTGTATAGTGATTGTTCGATAGTTATTCCTTTGTATATACAAATGAACTTTTCAGAATTCACATTGTACTTTAAAGTTCCATATGGTTACGATCACAACACCGTTAAATAAAAAAGATTTAATCTAATGCAACCATTTTAAGTGATGAAGGGTCGAGATTTCTTCTTATTTTTCATGGGAAGAGTAGTTTTCCCTAAAACCATTCTGTGTGTGTATAAGGGATCCACTTACTCCAAGTGTTAGCTATAACGCACTTACTCTCGATCCACACCATTGGATATTTCTTTATCTAATCGCATATATGAGTTATTTAATCAAGGCAGTTAGATAAAGGTAGAACCAATGCCGTAAATTGAGAGCAAGTGGACCCCTTTATATATAATATAACATCTTATTTTCCTTTGTCATCAGGGTAAAAACTATATTTTCGAGTTTGACAGTTTCTCAGACCGTGATGCATGCAGAGATTTTGTAGGCAAGTCATCTTGGTTTGGATTCATTTTGTTGCCGTTAGGAACATTTATTTGGTTGATCTCTTTTTATTATTAACTCCGATTTCATATGTCAATTCATCTTAGCTGACCCCGAACTCTTTTGGGACTAAGTCTTGGATGTTCTTGCTATATTTGTTTGTCATTAACAGCTTCAGTCATCACTTCTTGTGGAGATTCTGGGAAAACTACCCCTGCACCTGAAAGTTCTACACTTCCAAATGATGAGCAACTCAGCACATCTGAAATGGAACGTCGAGTTAAACTTCTCAAGGAAGATGGGTAATACTAACATTTAGACTATTCTAGCTGGCCTCTCTAGACCTCATCTCATTAGAGGGAAAGTAGGCCCAAGATTTATGTGCAAACTCCTAAGCTCATTTTGGGAAGGTGGAAGATGATATTTTATCTGCTTGTGTATGGTCACTTAAAAAATTAAGATAATGGAAAGTGAGTCAAACCAAAGGAAATGGAGTGTACAAACCCAGAAAATTAGTCCATTTTTTGTCGAAATAAGTCATTTTCTGGATTCCTCAACAAACTGACATGAGTCCATGGGCATAATTACCACAATCACCATAAATCATCACTGTCATCTCTGTTCCACACCATAGCCGTCAACACTAGGGGTGGTAGATTGATAGTGAGCTAGGCCCCTGCCCACTTAGTGGAACCCTACCACAAACTTGATTATATGTTATACTATCCAAACATGCCTGGATCTAAGTTTTTTTTGCCTAACCCCTCAAGCTCATTTGTAAATTAGCTCAATACATACATACACTCACCACTCCTATTATATACTACGGAGTATATCGTTACCCCATCACTCTCTCTACCACCCCAAACACCTCTAGTATGACTGTTATAGTCATTATGACACCACTGGTGTTGCTAGCACCAACTCACTGCTGTAGTCAACACTTCATTATCTTTATCGCTACTACCCCATCATGTCAGGATCTCAGATCTGCAAACAGTAATTCTTCAAGTCCTTCACCTATTGTTCTTTGTCATATCTGCTTTCCTATTTATTTTCCCCTGCACTTGTGGTGGTCATGTGGCAGCGGCTGTGTGAGTGTTTGGCATCTACTATTTGTAAGATTTTCATTTCTGAGTATTAAGTAAAAAACCCAGCATATTGGTGTCATTATCAGTTTATGTGTGAGTTTTTATCTGATATATATTATTTATTTCACTCAGTAACAAGTTTAAGTGGCAGTGAATTGAGGAAACTTCACAAGCAGTTAGTTATGGGGGGCATTTTGTCAGAGGGTGAATTTTGGGCAGCAAGGAAGGTCAGGAACTGGATGAATTTTTTTCTCTTCCCACCAAATACCATCTTACTCTATGATACCACGTCTTTTATAGTTTGAGCCATCTATAGAATAATCTGTCTGCCATAATATGTTCTAAGAGAAAAATTATTCTCACTGAGTGCAGAAATTACTAAATCAGGGTGATGCTAAGAGGCCAAAGCAACATGTAGCTTTGAAAAATCATATTTGGCATAAAAAACCTACTATTGATGGTCAGGTACAGCTGCATCCCTCACTCTTTCTTTTTCCAACATTAAAAGAAATCATTTTCTGTTTCTCTCAGTGCACTGTGCAATGCTGTTTATATCTTTCAGCTTGTGGTTTTCTTCTGTTCTGTTTGCCAATACATATATATGCTGATAAGTTATCATGTGTTTTTATTAAAGTTTGCTGTGCTGATCGCTTTCTTCTTTTATATACTATTAATTATTAATGCATGACCAAATGATGTTGTATTACTTTTGGCTGGAAGCTTGTTAACTTTACCCTTTTTGTCTATACTATCAAATTCTTTTACATACTGTGACACAGTTTTTTTTTAAATTCAGCCTAACAAGATTACTTTTAACTTGACACCGGAGATCATTCTTCAGGTATTACTGTGTCCTTTACTTTTCTGAACATGACATTGTATGACGCTTTAAGCAAGACTTATATAGTATGGTGTTTCTGTAATATAATAAATTTTGTCCAACGAGAATGAGGCAGTTACAATTTTTTTGTCTAACAAATTTATCATGTTATAACAATTTTGTGTAATTTTTTTTGAACATTGCTTGAGATCATGGATCAATTCATGTTAACCGACCCCAAAATATTTTGGGAATAAGGCCTGGTTGTTGTTATTGTTGCTTGATATTTTGTCCACGAAGCATAAACTCTACAAAAAAGAACTCACTCTACTCTACTTTTATTAGGTGGGGCATCCTAATCAATGAATTTTTCAATTACTTTTCTTTGGAGCCAATAATTTAATCATTTTGTTCTCATGAGTGAGACAGAAAAGTAAAATAACCTAACTTAGTTATTTTCCTTAAAAAATCACTACTCATGTCAAGTAAAATTTAAATCTGAGTTAAAAAAGTTAATTTTAAATACATACAAATATAAATTATTGGTGGCAAAAATAAATAAATAAATAAATTAATTAATTAATTAATTAATGGTGGCAAACATTTGTATATCTAATATAGTGTAATTTATATATGTACAATGGAGTGTCCAAGGAAGGCCCCCAAATCCATCTCTGACGACTAGCATGTGTCACCTGCTAAAGCTAAATTTGAATATTGTCATTAACTTTCATGTTTCATTGCATCTTCTCCGATTGATATACAGAGAATGCATTACTCACCAGATTAATTGAAATGCATATGGGTTTCTTGATATTCTTAGTTTTTTATTCGATGTTGGTTTGTAGTTGCTAGCTTCTATCATGTATAAAAATGAAATGGATTGATGTCCCTGATTTTGATGTGTCAATACTTCCTCTCAGATTGAAATTTTGCCAATTGAAATGTTTTCAATCATCTTACTTAAAAACCTTTTTCAATCCCTGCAAGTTGCTTTGCATAACTTACTGGTGGGTCTCACTGTTTTTAAAAGAAATGCGACTTGCAAAAGGGTCTAAGTAGAGTTAATACTTGTTTTTTATACAAGTGTAGTTTTGGTACATGTCATACACTCATACTGACTTTTTAAATGTACATTCAGATTTTCGCCGAGAAACCAGCTGTTCGTCAGGCATATCTTAATTTTGTTCCAAAGAAGGTAAGCAGAGATAAGTGTATCGCTGGTTTCAGCACTGGAGCAACTCTGTCATTGGAATTTTGCGGTGATTTCATTTGTATTATATTGATGACATGTTTTCTCATTTCATGCATTCTAGATGACAGAGAGGGAATTCTGGACAAAATATTCAAGGGCTGAATATCTCCATGGCATGAAAAATGCTTTTGCAGCAGCAGCAGCTGTGGCAGCTGAGGATGAGGAGCTTGCTGTTTTTCTGAAACAAGATGAAATTTTGGCAAGTGAAGCTAGGAAAAAGGTGCTTCCCAGATGATATGAATTTCCATGTTTTTCCAGCCAATCTCTTTTATAGTGAAATATCTAATCTATGCTGCAAAATGATAATATTGTGCGAGCATACACATATTTCCACAACCTTTTCTGTGTTGTAATTTTTTGTCAATATTTCCATAATCTTTATTCTTTCAGATTAAACGGGTGGATCCAACCCTGGACATGGAAGCAGATGAAGGCGATGATTACATACATCTACCAGTATGCAAATGAAACTTTGCTCTATAATTTAATTGTGTAGAATCTTCAATAAATGAGTAAATGACACTGTTTTTACACTACATGTTGATCTTTCAATTCAAACCTCTTCATTTCTTTTGAGAAAGGCTATGAGATTTTCTGAGAATAATTAGTTAAGGAGTAATATACTAGAACATGAGCTTAGTGTGAGTGACCAAGTGCTCCAGATGGCCTTTGGTACTGGGTTCAAAATATCAAACATTGCAAACATTCCTTTTTAAGTAAAATTATAAGGTTCCTCATACGATCCTGCTGTCACCACTTACATCTGCATTCAACCTTTTTATATAGTTCGTATTTCACCTTTGCATTTAGTTCAAGGTAAGTTGTTTCTGATTATAGGATCGTGGGCTCCCATGTAATGATACAAAGGAGACTGAACACTTTCAACCTGGTCCATGTAAAAGATCTTTTGGACAAGAGCTCAATCAGCATGCAGCAGTAGTTCTTCGAGGAAGAATTGTAGGTTAGAGACTTTCTCATATATTGGTATAACTCTTGCTATCGACAATATCTGGTTTGGGTATGTGTATTAAATTCATGGACAATCATTTTTCAAATGTGAAAATTGTGGATTGGATAGGATTAATGAGATTTAGAGTACATTGGCATTGAACTCCTGTTGACATTAGGGCAATAACTCGAATCCTATGAAATTCTTATCTAAGACTCAAAGAGCTCCTGTTGCCAATTTGACATTAGGTCAAGGGCTCAAATCCTAATGAATATTTTATTATTTTCATATACCCATATTTAAAGACATCTCAGATTTAAAAGTTTGAACAGTGGAATTTGAAAAGGTATTTTATGTGTTTCACAATGTAAGCAGAGGTCCTATAGATACATGAGAGAATCTTAAATAAGGTAACTAGATAAAGACTAATTCCTAAATCCATGGAAACTGTTTTATTGTTTCTATGTGTATTATTCATAATTCACTGTAGAGAACTAGATATGGACCATAGATGTTAATTATGCCCAACTATATACATATATAATTCACTCAATAATATGGTTTTCAGATTGCTAATTGTTCTCCAATTTTCACAAACCTAGTAGAAACCAATCTCCATATCTTTTCACAGACAAAGTGCTTTGCTTAGAAGATTACCTATCCATATTACATCACATTCCAGTTTGGCCATATCTATATATCATTATATCCTGACTATGCACTCAAACGAGAAACAAAACTGCTATTACTTTTCCATCAAACCAGTTGGCTTTTAAAAAAGACACAAAATCCAGCCGTTGATCTCAGATCTCCTTAAAACCTGCCCAATCAGCATCTGTAAAGCAATCGATCTTAGTACGCACATGATTCTCATACAGAATTCCACGCCCACGTGTTTCCTTCAAGACTTTCAAGTAACCCAAAATGTGCTCTATAAGTCTGTAGCAGCCCAATTGTCAACCATTGAGAATTCCATGTACTGGCGCCTAGCACTAATTGGGTATGCAATATCTGATGAGTTACTACCAACTACCAAGTAATTTAGCTTCCCAACTAATCCCCGTACCTCTCTGAATATAGAAACAATTGTCCTTTTGTCAGTAGCGCCTCTGGTATCTGGGAGTACTACATAGTTTGGTTTACAATTTCCCTATTTCAGATCATAAGTGTAGTGCATGTTGGATCAGCTGTATATGAATCAATAGAAAAAATCCAAAGATCAACCACCAAAATCCTCCTTTTCTTTTTTCACTAATGGCTAATCTTTGAAAAACATTACTAGTTTGTTTGGCATGGTTGAAGTACAAGAGAAAGAAATTGGGAGGAGAGAAAGTTGGAGATTTTTAAAAATTACACTTGATTTTTTTGTAAATAAATAAGAGTCATCAGTTTGATCTGATTTACGTTGCTTTCTTTCATCATAGATGAGTTAGGTGACCCAAAATCTGTAGCTGAAGCACTCCACACACGGAAAGAGGGTAAGATTTATTCATCACTCAATAATATAAATTGATACATTTTTTATAGCTCCTTCATTATAACTAATATGTTTAAAGTGTCCTTTACTCTGAATAAGTTGGTGAAGAATCTTCTGAGACTCTTGGCAATGAGCGATCAAGACGGGCTTCTCAAATGGCTGAGATTGAGGATCTTCAGGCACCTTCAGAACCCCCAGTTGCACCATTATCTATCAAGGTATCTTTGTTTTTAATTCTAAAAAACATTTCATCTAGGCTAATTTTATATGTAACATACAATTGCTTTATTTGTGAATTAGGATCCTCGCGACTATTTTGATTCTCAGCAAGCTAATGCAATCAAAACACTTGAGGATTCTGTAGTTGGCAACAGACAGTATAAATTTAGAGTGAGCACCTTAGACGCTTTTAGCTCCTTGAAGGGATTTATTTCAGAAATCAATTCGCAGGGGTTACTAGAGCCAATAGTAAGCCCTGAAGCTGCTTTTAAGGTAAATAGGTGCATTTTTTATATCTTTATTTAGGTGGTTATATATCATTTCAATGATCTGGATTTAGTTATGATCATGATGTTTTGTTTTCAGCTGTTTTTATCAATTCAATGCAAAAACAAATCAAACCTTTTTCCTTATGCAGGTGTTCAGTACATTGACTCAGACCATATCGAGTACCAAATATAACTTTGGAAAAAACTCCCATGATAGTGTTTTGGATAGGTTGCCAAATGCAACCAAGGATGAACTGCTACATGTTAGTAATTGGTTTTGTTCTTTCGTTTAGTTTCAGTACTGGTGATGCCTAACACAAATAAATTTGTTATAGCACTGGACAGCTATCCAGGAATTATTAAAGCATTTCTGGTCTTCTTATCCAGTCACAACCAAATACTTTTATGCCAAGGTAAATTGCCGGTCTATTTGTATGAACTTTTTAATGAGTGATTTCCCCCTTGCAATTACTAATCCAATTAGGAATTATTTCAGTACCTCCCATATTATTCTGTTTGGACTAACTTTACCTGATATTCACAATATTACTCTCTGAATCTGTTCAAACCAACATTTATTCTCTTACTTTTAGTCTAATAATAACAAGTTATTTTATAATTTCGTAATCATTTATAATTTACTATAAAATTTTATGTAGATTTTAAATATACTAAAACTGAATTAAATATTTCAAAAAAAATCCATACAATTTTTTTGTATGGATCCATACAATTAGGAAACCTTTGGGAATAAGGCTTGGATGTTGTTGTAATTTATATAACTAGGAGCCCGTTTGGTGATCCTGTTTTTCGGCTTATCAGTTTTATCAACCAACTTTTTCACAAAACACGCAACTTTTGAATTTGCGCGCCGAATTGTGTAGCAATCAAATAAGTAAGGATAAAGTTACTTTTTTGGCTGAATTGCCTGAAGTTACGGTAGAGGACTCGCTATTTTTTCACATAATTTTTTCTTTATTTTATTAACAAAATATATTTTAAATATAATTTTTCATAAATAAGCAGAATTAGCCAATCCAGCCACTTCGAACATAACTTCATAAATTTCAGCACAATCAACTGATTCAACCAATTTCAGTGTTACCAAACGGGCTCTAGATCATACAATTTAATTTTTAAATTTTAAATATTTTGAATCAAGTTACGTCATCCACACGCATCTTATTTTTGGGACAAATGGACTATTAGTTGCGAGAGTTTTACCCTAAGGTAGGATTATTTTTCTTTGTTGGTCCTTACCTAAAACCCTAACCTCTTCTGATTTGGATTACACTGGCTTTTGTTCACAGGTTACGAAATTGAAAGATGCAATGTCCCAAATATATCTGAAGCTACAGGTAATGTGAAGATGAGCTCATTTTAAAACATCAGTCCATACCCATTGGAAAAAAGACTTGTACTTCTTTTTTCATACCACGAGGAATGTATTAGCAAAGTAACAATCTATAATCGATGGTTCTCATTGTTTATGGATTTAGAGCAGTATAAATTTTTTGGTTCTGTTCGTATTACTGCCAGTTTTTTGTGCTTTAAAGGCAAATGCATAGGTTGTATAGTACACAAAAAAGTAGTCATATTTACTAATCATGTTAGTTATGACTTATGAACATCATTTTTTTGTTGTTTCCAAAATTTTGTTTTCATAATTAAAAAATGGAAATCTGGAGACGGAAAATAATTACAATTGAGCGCTTAAACTTTGTATTCCAAAATGGTAGCTGCGTAATCAATGATTTGCGTGCTTGTACAGGAGATCAAGGAATCCGTGCAGTCAGATTTGAGGCATCAAGTTTCCCTTCTTGTTCATCCAATGCTTCAGGTCAACATTTTTTCTTTCCCTTTGCTTTAGGCTCAAGCGACACCCAGCAAAAAAAACGAAAAACACTGAATTTGTATTTGTCCTTGCAACAACATTACCCCAATGCTGCAAAAGCTCCCACCTGCGGTGGGGTAAGGGGGTCAGACGTACTCAACCTTACTCTTGTACTAAAGCACAAAGAGATTCTTTCCGAATAACCCATGATGAAAATTACGTCGAAAATTGCATGGACTGACTGTTGCTTCATAACAAAGAAGTGTAGACAATCTAGTGAGCCATTTTGTTTTATTTCATCATTTTACCAAGCCCAAAAATAGTGAGTCTTTGGCTCCATTGGAAATGATGGAAAATTGTATTTGTCCTTGTGCAGTTGTGCTGATTATAATTTAGATGAGTTGGTTCTAGATCCCCTTGTTAGTTTACCTCTCACTAGATCATCCATCATAATTTAATGGATAAATAATCTAAAGACAATTCATAAACTAAATTAGGTTTGGTTATAGTGGGGTATAAAGAAAGATGGCACCAATAAAATATGGTTTCTGATGTGTTTCAAAACCTGGAGCTAATGGTGAAAATGCTTTCGTATTTTTGTTAGGCCTTGGATGCTGCTTTTGCGCATTATGATGCAGATTTACAAAAGAGATCTGAGAAAGGGGGAGTAAGCTCAAATGGACTTATATAGAGACAGAAGTACTTCACCACCATTTGAATTTTGAGGTTGGAGCGGGTGTGTTTTACGGACACGGTTCTATTCAAACTGTACATTTCACAAAGTTTTGCTGAGCTTATACACATACAAAATACTCCGTATAACATTATAACAATGAAACTCTTGTCGCGTCATTATGATAAAACTGGTCTTATAGATTGCACGTGTTGGGAACATTCGCCTTTGTTTTATCATGCATTTTTCCATGGTTGATTTCATCTCTTTATAGATCTCTGAGTTTTTATGAATTTTTAATGAACGGTGAAGATCAAAATGTGCCAAAAACTGAGTTGAAATGTCGGCTTGATTATAATTTGTAAAATATATTACAAATATTGAGCCCAAAACATGCTTGTTTTTGGATCATAATTCCTTAATCCAAAGATTGATTTGCGGGAAAGCAACTTGACGTCGTTATCATTAATGTTGATGGATAAGAAATCTATCATCATCATCATTAACAAATAACAACACATGAACCGTAGGTTCGTAACCAGCGGCGGACGAAGGATTTCCTGGTAGGAGGGGTGGCAGTCATCATACATACAAATACATACTCCCTCCGTCCCAATATAAAAAGCACATTTGCTTTTTCAAACATTTTTAGGAGGAACATTGTCACTGTTTGGACATTGTTTTGCACTATTCGACACTCTTTTGCACTGTTTTGTTTGCCAAAAAAGAAAATGTGCCTTTTATATTGGGACGGCCCAAAAAGGAGTATGTGCCTTTTATATTGGGATGGAGTGAGTATATATTTAAAATTTCACGGTAAATATACCTAGAATTGTTTTTTGGAGGGGCGGCAGCCCCCCATTGCTCCCCTTTGTGTCCGCCACTGTCTGTAACCATGGGAAAATCCAATCCGGGACCGGCTGTTTCTTGCTAGAGTTCCCGTTCAGGACACTGGCAAGGTACAACCGGTTGTACTTTGTACTGGGTATTTTTGAAATTTTAAACTTTGAGGCTCTTTTTCCCCTCTTTCTTTGATTCCAGATCCAGTGCATGATGAATCCCTAGCCATCGCCATCACCCAACCTTCACCATCGGCTCATCGCTCCAACCTTCACATTCACCATCATCGTGAAAAGCAGAGTTCCTCTATCTTTGGAGTCCGACCAAGAGTAGATTCGATCTTGCTAGAACTTGATTCGTTCGAGTTTCACATGGTCTCCCAATCGTTGATGATTCGGCCTGTCGGGATTCAAACATTTCTAGTCCGTCACCGTTCCTCCATCTTTAGTGGTGCAGAGATTGTCGATGACAACTTTGATGCTCTATTTAGACTAGATTATGATGAGATTGACTTGGCAAATCGGTCCAACCCTTGTGATATCACTTTCACATACCAAATGAGTATAACGTTTAAAAAATGAGCATAAATAAATGAGGATTTGAGCACATTAACAATTTCAAATGACGTTTTGAATTTTTCAATGCTCATTATGTAAGTCAATTTTGCTAGAGGTACCCCATTTGGTACCTCATTTATACCTCATTCCTATATGTGTGGTTCACAAAAGCCTAAGACATTAAATGAATTGCTCCATATTAATGATGTGCTTTTGTGAACCACAAATATAGGGAGAGAGTACAAAATGAGGTACAAATTGGGGTAGCAATAGCTTTTTCTTTGTAAGTTATGTATGCCCATTTAGTACTATACCCATACATGTGTTCCCATTTGGAAATATAAGCTAATAGTATGAAGTGCACACTTTATGAAATAGACTTACATATTTATGACTAGTGACTAGAGTAGTAATGAAATCATACTAACTTATGTTCATTTTTTAAGATTAAATTGCCATGACACTAGATTGTAGTATATTAGTCATATTTGCGTAAAAAGTTTTATGTTAGTAACATTTTTGTAAAAAACCATTTTAAATAAATACCTGAAATTGATGGTACTGATATTTCGTATAATGGAAAGCTTATGATTTTTGTTTCACATATGCCAATTTGGGTATTTTTCATTGCTATGCCCATTCAATTAATTAAGGTGGAATAGTCTATCAATACACACACATATACATACGTAGTACTCTCTCCACGTTCGTTTTTTTTGGACGTCTCGTATAAAAGTTTTCATTTCTATTTTAGGAAACAAATAACAATTTTAAATGATAGTTTAATCATTAAGTATTTAAAACAATACATTTATAACATCACAATTATCAATACTATCCCCATTATATTATACTACATCCGTTACAGAAAAGTTGGCCAAAGTTGACTTGTACGTTAATTAATAAAGTAACAACTGTGTGGTTGAAAATTGTACAGAGGAGAGAGAAATAAATTTAGCCACATATTTTTTCCTTTAAATGGAAATGCAAAAGTTTTTTGGGATGTCCAGAAAAGGAAATTTGGCCAAGTTTTATAGAATGAGAGAGTACATACTTGTTATTTTTTTTCAAAATATACTTGAATTACATTCATTTTTCAGCCCTATACACGCCGTTTGTGAAACGGTTATTTTTCGCAAATGAATAACTTATTCATACTGGAAACAATTAAAAATCTTCAAAATAATTCATACTTTTATTTATCGTAATAATAAGTTAACGACTCACAAATACATACTTATAATTTAATCTTAGTTCGACAGGGAACTCTTGAGCGAGAGGAGTGGCAATGGCCGATGGAGAAACCGTACTACGGCTGTGTTTATGATTGTGCTTAAATAAAAGCACTTTTTAGGAAAAAGTGATTAGTAGTAAAAGTTGGTAGTGTTTGGTAAAATAAGTGCTTTTTGTGTAATAGAAAAAGTAAAAAGTAGATTCTACACGAAAATCGAGAAGGTAAAAGTTGGTATTGTTTGGTAAAATAAGTGTTTTTTTCTTAAAAAAAAAAGCCAAAAGCACTTAAATTAATTGTTTGCAAACAAAGCCAACCTCTTTATCCTTTTCTCTTATTCCTATCTTCTTTAGTTTAATTGGTGCTTTCGATTCGTACTATATGTTCTTCGGTTTTTCCTAGCACCGTCTAGAGATTTCATATTCGGTGGCCCCACCTACCAGGTGTATATTCTCCATCGTTGATAGGGTGTTTTTGTCTGTTAGTAAGAGGTTTGTACAAACCTAACTAGCTGGTTCATCAACTCCGTACGAATCACCGTTGTGCAAGGAAGACACAATCACATGGATTGCTTTCATTCCGGTGGCTTATGAAACCAAAACAAATTCTACACGTCGCTCATTATTGGTGGCTGGCGAAATTGGAAAGCTTCATGGTTCCCTTTTGAAGGATGTTGAAGCCGAGATGCATATCTTCTTTCCTTTACAGATGATTAGTAAAATCGACGGTTTTGATAATTATTTTTATCATAACAGGAGTAGTAGTCAATCTGCAATTAGAGTCTACATCTTTGCAAGCTTGAGTTTTTTTCTTAAATAATGCTAACAAACAAAATATTTTCATAATTGATGTTGGGTCAAAATTATTTCCCAAGCTCCACAAACTCTAGTTACACCATGGGAAGCCTACGCATGACTACCGTAGGGGTCACTGAAAAGCACACCACAATTGGTAGAAGAGCAATGGTGGGACCCAATAAAATAAAAAATCCCATTTTTCTTAGAAACTTTTATATTTATACTCCGATTTTTCAAAACAATATATCATAATTCATAACTTTTTATTATCTTTCATATGACACCAATATTGTATATATAAAAAATAAATAATAATTTAACTCTTTAAAAATTTCATGTATTTTAAAGTATTAAAACTTTTTTTATTTGTATTCTGATTGTTTTAAAACATACTCTCTCTGCCCCCTATAATTGTCTTCTTTTTCACTTTTGGATGTTCTCCTATTATTGTCACATGTCATATTTGTTAACATTTGTGTGACTCTAATTCATTCTTACTTTATTTCCACTTTATCAACTCATTATTAATCACATAATTCTATTTTTCTTAAAAATCACACCACTTTCTTATGTTCCAATATTAGGGGGCGGAGTAGTATATATAAAAAATTTCATAATATTTTATTATATTTTATATGACACTAATATTTCATAGGTAAAAACAAAAAATAATTTGGTACTTTAAGATTTTTTTAGAGTTATACCTTTTTTAGTATAATTTGGTACCTTTTCTTTAAATATTTCTGGATAATTGTTTTTAGTGTTATACCCTTTTGACTAATAAATACATAATTTATCACGTTAAAAAAATCTCAATTATTTAAATTGCTATTACTTTTTTATTTGTAGTCTAATCGTTACATATAATATATCAAAATTCATAACTTTAAGAATGAGCACGAGACACTACGAGACGATTATTTTAAAAAGAGTGTCTCAATTCAAAGTACGGTTCTTCTGAAAATTATAGAACCAGTACCCTCGAATATGTATAGAACATGTCCCGTTCTGTATCAATTTTTTATACGGATGGATATAGTTCTTAAGTACTCCCTCTCAACTATTGAACTTTGTCAACTTTCGCTTTTTGATTATCTTAAAAATTATACATAGTAGTACTTTAAAAATTGTGAACTTTTTTAAAGTGCTAAATTATTGTCTATTTCTATATATGAAAATTAGTAACAAATGAAAGATAATAAGAAATTATGAGTTTTGATATACCTGGAGTACCAAAAAAGGTATAACACTATAAAACTTATTAGAGTACCATATTTAATTATTTTTACTATGAAATATTAGTGTCATATAAAAAGAAATAATAAATCATTATGAATTTTGATATATACTACCTCCACCCCCTAATAATTAGACAGGATGAAGTGGTATATTTTTTAAGAAAAGTAGAATTACGTGGTTGATAATGAGTTTATAAAGTGGTAATAAAGTAAGAATGAATTAGAGTCGCACAAATGTTATATTAACAAATATGACGTGTGACATTAATAGGAGAACTTCCAATAGGGGAACTTCCAAAAGTGGAAAAATGGAATAATTATAGGGGGCGGAGAAAGTATGTTTTAAAACAATCAGAGTACAAATATTTTTTTAATACTTTAAAATACATGAAATTTTTAAGGTGTTAAATTATTATTTATTTTATATATATACAATATTGGTGTCATATGCAAGATAATAAAAAGTTATGAATTATGATATATTGTTTTGAAAATTCGGAGAATAAATATAAAAGTTATAGCAATTTTAAGAAAAATGAGATTTTTTATTTTATTGGGTCCCACCATTGCTCTTCTACCAATTGTG